GTAAATAAAAAAATAAAATAAACATATTTGACTCAATAAAAGTTTTGAAATTAGTATAAACTTTTAATCTCTAACCTTATAAAAATATAAGTTATTGTCAATATAATTGAATATTTTCAACTAATTTTATGCTCTACAAAAGTTACGACAACCTAAGATTTTTCTGAAAAAACAGGGTGGGAGGGGGTATAGGGAGGAGAAATGTTAAAAGTTGGCCCCCTTGTTTGGTCATTTTTCGGCAAAAAAAAAATTAGAAATTACAAGAAAATTTCTCATGTTTAATAAATCATATTAAAGATTCAATAAATGTCATGTTAACATTTAGTTATGAAACTAAGAACAAGTTGAAAAACTAATGGTAATTGTTTTCTCAAAGATTAAGAAAATAAGGTAAATAAAATAAAAATTAAAAATTAAAATCAAATAAAAAATTTTGGACTAATTTTAAAGTTTTTCAATAGACCATGGAGGGCCATATATGGCCCCTCCTGGTTTTTACATAGCTCTACCACTGCCTATCTTCAGCAATCACTGATTCTATATATAGATGTACTGCCAATAAGATCAAGGGTCTTAATTAGGAATAACCTGGTTGATTTAGTAGATAGATTCCACAAGTGATGTTGTTTCCTTTAGTTTTAGGACCTCTAGCATGCTCAAAGTCCTCGTATCTACAAGCCAAAAATGAGAATACAGCCTTAAATTTTTACTAGTGCTAAATTATTGCTTCATCAAGAAATGTATCTGTATAAGACTAATGGACCAATTTTTCTAGTTCTTTTAGAGTATTGTTGATAAAAGGAACAGAATGACCAGCCCTCATCTTAACCAAACTTTCAACGTCCAGCAATACCTTTGGAAACCACAAAACTTTCCACTTCATTATGGCTTAAATTCACCTTCTTCCACTTGTTTAAAGTAACTAATTTTGATAATAATAGAGACAAAATGAAATTAGTTAAATTACAATGAGGGAAAAGAAATAGGATTTCATAATTAGAAGGATGTATTATGATTGATGAAAATAGAAAACAAGTAAAACAAATGATCTACTTTTAATATTTTAGTATTTCATTTAATTTGTTATTACTCAAATCAAGAATCCTGAGAGATGGAAGCTCCGTTATAGAAAATAAAATCCTATTACTGAAAGAACTACTATACAAATCAAGCACTTCCAAATTATCTAGCACAAGTGATCTTTTAATATCAACACACAGGGTTCATGAAAAATAAGCATTCTTTGTATGTTTACAATTAATGAGCAGTTTTGAGTCCCTAGAAAAAACATAATGTTAAAATTGAATCTCATATATTGGTCACATTATAATATGGAGACTTCCTTCCGTCCCATTGCTTGCTAGATCTAACACTTTGAGGGCCGTTTGGTTAGCGTAAAACTTTATTAGGAAAGCTTTTAGTAGAAAAGTAATTAAGAGAGTATTGAACAAAAAATTATTAAGTTTTATAATGAAATTTTGTTAGAATTAGTAAAGAATAAACTTAAATGAAGAATAGATTCAAATAAAGTTACAATTCTAAGCAAGCTAAAAGTTCTAAAGTTCAAACTCAATCGTTGAACCCAAATTTTCAATTACCACAATGATTGCTTCCAAAATATTTAAATAAATTAAATTAATTCAATTTACAAATAGTTAAATGCATGCATTCAACATAGTAAGAAAAACTTAGTTGGCTAAAAGAAAATGCAAATATAAAACTTTTAATTTCGAGAAAATTCTAAAAATTAAGCACTAATTTTGTTAAAAAAAAAATGAACCCATTCATAATATCATCCAGTGATTAACCATGTATTCTTTTAAAATTCAAAAATTATAATGTTTTAAGATCTATTAAATCATAGATTTTAATTTTAAAAAAATTATAAATTCAAAATAAAATTAATCACTTCATTAAATACGAAAATAACTCAATAAAAAAATTAATCAACTTTCTTGACATGCAATGAATTAATGAAATTAATTAATTTTTTTTATTGTCCATCAAACCATAGAATTGATTGATTTCCTCTATCAACTCCTATTAGTCCGATTTCAGTAGACGTGAAGTGGTGGCAATGGCCAATCAGCATCTGCTCTCGGTGGCAATGACTAATCAACACCTACTCTACATTGAGATCAGAGAACCTTGACTTTGACTAAAATAAAACCTTCTTTGTATGTATATGCTAGTTTCTTAGTAGGAAACTTCCATATCGTGTTCACTACGAGTTGCGGTCCATGCATGGGGTCCTCTTGGATTTGGACTTGCTTTACTTTCTCCATTCAATTTTTTTCTTTTTTTTTTTTAAGTTTGTGGGTCGAAGTATTGACTAAAAGATTGACCGTCAATTTTGATACATCAATTTTTAAATTTAATATAATTCATAATATAAAAACAAATAAATTTCCATAGAGATTTGAAGTCCGCGTGAAGCAGGGACAATGGCTAGTCAGCACCTATCTTATGACAAGACAATCTTGACTTTGGCTGAAAGAAAACAACATTTTTATATATTACTTTCGTGGTAGGAAATTTTCAAATTGAAACTTGCATTAAAGGTTGTTTCATATGTAATTTTTTTTAAAAAAAAAAATATGGGAAAGTCACATTAAAAATGGATTGGTTTAGCTTTGAAAATTAAATTTTCCTGCTAAAAAATTGAGTGCAATGTAATTGATTATAATAAAAGTGCAATTGGTTATATTAGGTATATAATTAATTATAAAGAGCAAATAAATGATTATATATGATATTTCTCGAT